GCTGTCACGGGCAGCTTATACTTTGTGACTGATCTTACTCAGCTGTTGCAAGGGAGGTTCAGACAAAGTTTCTAGGTCTTATGAAATGATAAATCTGCCTTTGTCTCAAGAAACACAGTTCAGTACTTGAAAAATAGTTCTTCAACGTGATAATTGCTGGGGTACTTTTTCCTTGCTCTTTATACAGGGAAGAAGAGCGACATTCCTGCAAATGTGGGTGTGATTAATCCTGTCATGATTCAAACCTGATATTCTGTGTAGGGTTTTTGTAAGCGATCATTCCAGGAAACAAGCTTGAAATTTTGTAAAATTTATACATAAGCTTACAAACAGAAGAAGAATTTTTTGTTTGGGACTCAAATGAAACATTTAATTAAAAAATGCAGTATTGGAATCTTTCAAATTCAGGTTACACACAATCCAGCTGAGAAACCATGCGCAGAAACAGATGCGATTCTTTTTCATAACAAAGATGTCACTTGCGTTGTTAAACCTGGGCAATGCATTCAGCGTATTGCTGAATCTCTTCAGATTAAATGGTCCATCTGTCGCTGAGTCCTTCATATCAGTGTTCCCGAACCTTCCTGGGGCTGGTAAGTTTCCTTGGAATGTCTTGCAGACTGGCGAATTTATAAAAAAAAAATTCTACTGACTGCCAAGGCTTCATAAAATTTTTCAGCCTCAAAATTTTGGAATACTTTATGGCTGGTATTTAAAAAGATTCCACTATTTTGCAAAACATTAATTTAAGAACCATTGAAGCAGCTTTAGTGGAAAATTTGCAAAAGATAGAAAGTTGGGCTTGGGTGTCTCAGATTGAAAGACTGGAAGTGATTTATTTCAGGAGGTGAAAATTTGTCTGAAGTGTGGTTAGGAGAAAAGCCAACTTTTACTTTTCATCAGATATTTTCAACTGCCATTGTCTTTCCAAAATTCCAGATAAAGATAACAAACTTCATTGCTACTCTTAATAAATTTATTTTGCGTGATAAATTTTTCCTCTGACCTGCAGAAAACTTCTTCTGACTGGTAAAGAAGTTTGCACACCACAGGTTGAGGAACACTGCTGTGAATGATCCTTTGGTTATTTTACCCACAAACCTTCCCTGAATGCCAAGATTCTTTTCTCTCAATAAATCATTCGTTTTCAATTTTTCATGCAGGTTTTATTTGGTCTTGAAACAAGCAGTCCGAAGCACCACGAACCTTTGGGTTGACACCAGGCTTTGGCCTCCGATCTCCTGCAAGTCTCCGCTGGATCCCTGAGACAATTGCGTGATCCTCACTTCGCCTGCGGCACATGGAAATACTGTACTTCAGAAGTGTCCTTATTGTATGGTTTATTCAAACAAGTCAAATGAAAACCTCATGATGAGAGAAAAGTTGGAGAATCGAACTTATTCCCTAGAAAGTGCCAAATATGGTTCCCATATTCTTGCTACTGACTCTGTATAAGGAAATTCTTTGGCATACAATGCAGCCCAAACTATTTCGTGAGACCTGACGAAAGTGAGTTATTTGATTGAAGAACGGCTTCGAAAATATTTACTTGATATTTACTTCGAAAATATTTACTATTTAATTCAATGCGTGCATCTTTTTTTCAAGATTAACAGGAAATAATTGAGTATGTCTGTCATGGGCAATTAAAAAATTTATTTAAGTTAAGGTGTGCATCATACTTGATTAAAATGGAAAATATTGGCCCATTTAAACAAACAATTTTAAAATGGAAGCAAACGGAAACTAATTGGATTCAGGTTAAATTATAGTAAAAATTAAAATGCGTTTTATTTTCAAATTATTGCAATTTAATAGTCATTAAAATGGGGAACACAGCTTCACTTCAGAATGGCTTTTCATCCAAATTTACGCTGAATAATAGAGATGGGTGCTTGATGCTTACTTAGATATGGCAGGTAACTAACCCACCTGTTGAAACATCAGTAAGCAGTACAGTATACTTTTTGTCTTTACAATTTAATTCTATTTTTGAGTTGGTTTTGAGTTCTGTCAGAAAAGATGCTGATGCATGTATGATCCAAATACTGAACCATATATACTGAAGCACCACAAACACTAAAGTAAAGCGTAAACCTGAAGTTTTCAGCCTAAAATTCGGATAAAAAATGCCTCCCTCAGTGAGATGCGAGCCCCAGTTTTAGAGACTGGAAATTGAAGCATTTTGAAATATGAATAGCTCATAATTTAAATTTTGACTTCAATTTTAGTTAAATTATATTTTGATTTTCTGTGAAGATTTTTCATACTTCTATTGAAATTATTTTAAAATTACCTGTTGGAATCATGTATATGGCGCACCAAAAATGTGTATGTTCAAAAATGTTGACCCTGGTCATGATGGCCATCCTATTTTGTCCTCTTAATAAAAAAGTGTGCAGTACTTCGTACTTCAAAAAATAACTCAGTTCTTTTTTCATCTTGAAGTGGACTTTAAGCTCCAGGAACTTGTCCATTACATCAGTGAGTTTAGTTATTTACAGTAGACACGTCAAGTTTGTTTGCATAAAAAGTTTTGGTCCCATTATGGGTTCTCTATCATCTACCCATTTAATAGTGGTTCTCCCACAAGATAATTATACTGGTGGTACATACATTGCAATTTGACCCTAATCCTTAGCCGGACTAGGGTGGAATTGCAAAGCAGTCAAATTGCGAGACAATGTCAAATGGCATGTTTTCTACATGTCATTTGATGTTTCATGTCTCTCCATGGGTTGAAATGCATGGCTGAGGTTGAATTGAGAGTCCACCTCCCAGCAAATTTGACAGTTGAATTGCAGGATGGTCAAATTGTGGGAGGTAAAAGTGAGGTACCACCTGTTTTATATATTTTCTGCTGCCCCCCCCCCCCTGAATTTTGTTGTTGAGAGAGAATGTCATGGAACTTCACTCCCCTTAATGCACCTCTAAATTTCAATTCCTATACCCACCAAGGGCTCAATTTTGAAATTCTAGACCTTAAAAACAAAGAGTACTGCGCTGGTCACTTGAATCTGGGCAACCAGAACAATGGCGAGAATAAGAAAGTACTGCTGTTTAATACATTAATAGAAGGGTAAGGACGGGTACGAATCTCAACTACGGCTCCAAGTTATTAGTTTCAGGATTTCGACAGAGGTTCCATCTATGACTGAGCTGCACTAACCTCTGTTGTACCCAGGTGACAGTTGCACCTGGCTGCGGAAACCATCACCCAGGTTTAAGCGTGCAGGGTGCACTCCGATCACCTGCTGCCCAAACACTGCAAGTCCCAGGATAACGTCAAGGGATTAGACTACAGTAAAAGTTTCCCAGAACCCGAGGAAAAGAAAAACAACATTCCCATGCATAAATGAACCCGAATCGGTACTTGCCTTGTTGGGACGACGACCCTTGGGTCACAGCTCCTTGATGCTGCACAGACTCACCAGCACTGCCTTGGGTCCGGGACCCGGACTCGAACCTGGACACGAACACCTGGGGCTGGGTGATCCTGATTTGTCCCTGATGAGGGATCTGCTGCACGACTTCTTCAACCACTGATTGAGAGTTGACTGGGATCACCCGGATCCTTTGCACTGGCTTCTTCACAGTGAATCTCTGTTGGTCAAGTCATCACTGGGATCAAGTGCTGTTTAGTAAAGTTTCTGGTCCCTCAAGTTTTTAGTTCATCCCCCTTCCTCTTTATTTTTTCAGAAAATGTTCTGTACTTTTTACCAGTTGATCGCAATGAAGAGGCAGGTAACTTCAGCAAACTAATCAGGGAAATTAATCTGCTTCCTTCCCTGGTTCCAGACATAAACCGTATTTGCTCAAATACCACGCATACAATTTTTTTTCTAAAATTTGAGAGGAAAAAAAGAGGGGTGCACGTCATGAGTGGGCATACATTTTTTCAAAAAATTTCAAAAGCCCATATACAGGTGGTACCCCGCAAGTCAACCCTAATCAAATGCTGGACTATAGGGTCAAATTGCAAAGCAGTCAAATTGTGAGACAACATCAATGTCAATGCTTTCTACTTCTCATGTGCTATTTTGCATCTTTCTGCAGGTCAATTGTGGGGCAGATGTATAATGGTGAGTTGACCTGCCAGAAGTACAATTGTTGAATTGCAGGATGGAGGAATTGCAGAAGGTTAAATTGCAATTTACCACCTGCTGTACTTCATTCTACTGAGAAATGTTGGACCAAGTTCAACATAATTTTCATTTAAATGAAAAAATGGAAAATCAGTTGAATTCAAGTTCAATGTATGCAGAAATCCAAAGGTGGGTACTTCTATTTTAGAAATATTTCTTTTTAGAGTAACTAAAAATAGTGTGTATATCTTACTTGGGGATAAGATTTTATGCGAAATTTAAACTGAGAAACCCTCATGCGCGTCTTACTCAGGGGCATGCGGTACTCCAATAAATATACTACTGTATTTTAATTTGGTTCTGAGAAAGTTGAAAATCCTAGATAATGAAAGCTTCCTTGTATATACTGTACATTACATAACTCCATAATGGGTGACAACAATTAAGAAGCATGCACCACCACAATGTGATTGCAAGGAATCAATCCTTGTCCAATACCTGAATGCTTGCCTCCTGTCACCCTGACATGAGCAATCTTATATTTTTATAAATTACTATCGCCTATGTGGTCATGATAAAATGATTTTTTGTGCTGTGTTTTTTGCTTTATAGTGTTTTGTCTTGTGATTTTGAACTGTGCCCCTGCAATACTGAGAAACACCGTTTCTCACAAAAGACGAGTCTGATTTTCCTAATTTGTTACCTTCATTTATTTGAAAATCAAAACCCCTACGCAAAGAAATTTTGTGGAATAATCACGTTTGATCAAGAGAGGGCTGAGAGTCATCAATGACGAGCTCACCTGGATTTGAGTAGGGCCTTGGATGGATTGGATTTCTGTTTCTACCACAGGCTTGTAGGTCACCGGCTGAATTTCTCCAGATAAATCCTAAAAATGAATTACAAAAGGTTCAGTGGAATATTAAATTTATTCAGTAATACAGCTCAACATACATCAGGGTTTCTGAAATTCCATCAGTTGATTCAAACTGCAGTATTAATTAACGCTGTTCGTCATCAGAGACGAACCAAAAGTTTTTTAAAATGGCAAAACGTTCAGTTTCAGCAATTGCTAAATAACTAGCAATTCTCGACTTTTTCTCCCTTCAGGCTGCAATTGAGCCAAGAGTTGGACGAAAGATTAAACTCGGTTGGGTGCTGCTTCAGTGCCACCATTTTGATTTTACAGTATCACTTGGAAAACATTTTCAAAAACAAAAAGGTGGCGAAAACTCAAGTGCTCATCAGCCCACTATTTTTATATTTATCATCTGTTCTGCAGCCTGGGTAGGGCATTAAAGTGGATCAAAAATTTATCAGATCAAAAGAGCAAAAATAAATTTGGACATACGCGGGTTGTCCCAGTTGGACGCAGCCTCAGCTATTTTTAGAGAAATTATGATAGTAGAAAAGTGTTTGACAAAACCCTAAGCCATGTAATGTTCTGGGATTATTTTTGAATAAAATAAATGCAATTTAGAAATTCAATTCAGACCAGGATAACAATTTGAAATGGATCCGTTGTTGTTTTAATCACTACTTAAACTGTGGAAATGATAATGATTAAAATAACAAGCAAATGTCTGGTCTGGAAAATTTTTAGCTCCCCGCCGTGGAATCGGTGCAGAACTCTGGCTTCAACCGAAACTCCTCATCATGCAGTAAATTAAAATAAATAAAAAGAAATACCAGAACTCAAGGGGGCCTATTAGATGATCCCGGGCTACATCACAACTTGTTTTCATGACACCTACTCCAAAAGTATCAGAGGCCGCGCCCAACCGGGACAACCCTCGTACAAGTCCCAGAAATTATTTTTCTCTCAATTTTGTTTTTCACAAGCGACTCACCTGCCGAGTGACAGTGAAACTTTGCACCGGCAAGTTGATTTGCTGCGTCCTCGTGCCAGTGGGTATTTTCGCAATGAAAACCCCGGAATCCCCAGAACCAACGATGTCCGTGACCCTGGCTTCCTTGTCTTCCAGTGCTTCCAGGAAGGACAAGAACTCCGCAGCAACGATGGGTCCGGAGATGCTGAAATATTGGCGCACTTCCGCCAATCCAACGTTTTTCTGAGCGATCAAGACTTGCATCTTTTGATAGTCGATGGAGGAATCGTCGGCCACGGAGAGTGTGGCGCCATCTACGAGTGTGAGGGTCCACGTCCGAACTGGGATGGGCAGTTTCACCAGGATGTATTGCTGGTCAATGATTATTCCCAGCTGGTTCGTGAAGTACCTGTGGATGCGAAACGGGTTCTCGTGATGATGAGAGAAGTCATCTGAGAATCGCTTACGATTTCTTATACGTGCCATTTATTAATTTCATTTTTTTGCATACAGCATTTTGAAAAAAAAAAAAAATCAGGGATGAAAAAATGGTGAGAGGCCAAATTTCCCTCGAAAAATATTCTGAGGCAAAAAAAAGTGTGTCTCTTCCGCATCATACTCGACTCATAAGCCGCGCAATTTTTATCAAGCATGAAAAAATTAAATTCCTCATTCGATTGAGCTTTACCTTTTTTTTTTTCAAATTCAGGTATAATATAAATCAACTTCCAGAGATAGAACACCGACAATTTTCCTGACACGAAAATAATCTTTGCATGCACTCCAAAACGCCTTATTTCAGCATCAGATTTGTTTCACGCTGGTAAAACCCGGATACTCCGTTTAATGAAATTTTGGAATTAAATTTATGATGCTAAAAATGTTCTAGATGGAAATTATCTGAAAATCTGTTGTAAACATTCCGATCAGATGATTGTCTAGTCTGAATAAAGTTCAAGTGATGAATCAGAAGCATTTTCTGAGCAAAGTCAGTACAATTTTTCTTCTGGATTTCTTCAATGTCCACTTTGTTGAGATGGTCCTTTCAGAGGCACTAAATTTCTCAGAAGTTTGAATTTGGGAATCAACTTCCACCGAAAGAACAGATGAATTATGTTGGTCGAAAAATTTTTGAAACCACCGGGAAAAAGTTTTGAAATATGCAGCCTGATATCTGAGAAGTTGATCGAATATTTGAATTATGTTGAACAGTAGTAAGCACCCCCAGAATGCCACAAAAGAATAAATTCATGTAAAGATATCTCTTCTGTAGATAATTCTTCCGGCACACAGAAGCGATTCCCACAAAATTGATGCGTTCAAGCACAATATTTCTTTGAGAGAGAATGGGATAAACTTTGATGCGTGCTGGGTTAGAAATTGAGTAATTAACATCTGAACAGTGAAGCAATAAATAAATATTGAGGTAAAATATAAGTAACCAAAAGGTTTCTTGCGCTATAATTTTGCTTCAATATACTGTATATACTATTTTAAAGAATTGCATCAATAATGGATTTTCTGCTGGGACCTGAAAATGGATCAGTTATGCAAACTATTTTATTTTAATTGCATTTAATACAGAGTGATAAGACCTGTATTGTAATTTGTGTGCACCATAAAAAGAGAGCATGTTTTACCTTCAGGGAATTGCTTTTTTCTCCCAAGTGATTAAAAAAGTTTTCGGTGCATGGTACTCGAGTAAAAGTGGTGCCTGTCAAAACAGTACCTGACAAGATCTTGTGATTTGATGTCCTCGGACTCCAGGATGGCTCTCAATTTGTTCCTGGTCAACCTGTTTTCAACAATGACTCTTTGGAGGTACTCCAGGTCGATGTAGCCGTCGTCAATGATGACCAGGTAGTAGCCGTCCACGAGTTGCAGCCTCACTCGCTTGCCCTGAGGCCGAATGCTGCTTTCAGAGTTGACCTTCACCAGGGAAAAGCCCTGGGACTTCATGTAAGCCACCAGGCTGCTCAGACTGATTTCGTCACGCCCTGAAGCATCACAACCCATTCCAGAGCAAAATACATAGGTCGTCAACAGCTGTCCCGTTTGGCCAAGGTAGGAAAGATATGGCCGGATATCGTGTAAACATGATTCGGCCTGATACCAACACTTTTTCATCTTTTCAAGATGAAATTATGCAGAAAGTTGTCTAATCCATTGAGGAAAGCATCACAATGATAATTTATATAATTTTAAATTGTACAGTTATATAATTTATAAATAATGAATAGTTTACAATAAAACAGTATATGCAGCACTGTATTTATATGATTTTATATTTATATAAATACCCCAGTATTTATACGTCCAACATTTCATACTGATAGAAATGTGCTTAAGAAAGATTTACAATTTTTGCAATTCAATGAAGAGACCCTTTCTGAAATCTTAAACGATCAAAAGATAAACTTTTGGCCATATATGATTTCTCATGAAAGATTCTCTCTAAATTGTTCATTCAACTAAACCTCATACAGAAACAAGCTGACGACCTTGGGCTTTAAATAAATTGTAACTGATATTTTATTTCAATGCCAGGGAAAGAATGGGTGTATGCATACATGTCAGATGTCCAGTTGTATTTTGTGGATTGTATTTTCTTGTATTTTTGTTATCCATTTGTGCTCCATTTCCTGCTCTAAAGTGATTAAATGTCTTTGAGTTGATTTGGGTTGGGTGGGGAGGGGGTTTGGATGTGGAAATCTTGATTTAACCTTGTGAATGCTGAAAAACAGCAAATAAAGTGTTTTGTTCATTCATATGATTTTAATTTGTATACAGTAATTTTCTTGATTTTCTGGAGCGCATGGGATTCAACATCTAGCCTAAGTTCAATTACATAAATGTCATAAAAATCAAAAGGGCTTACAATCCCTCATTCTTGAGAGGAATGAAAAAATCACTGCAAATTTGAATTTGGAAGGTTTTGGCTTGAAGATGTTGCCTTATAATGGAGAGCTTGAACTGTACCGAATGGGTCTTTTTAGTTTGACAAAGAAAACAAGCTAAATGAGGAAATTCCTCCGGTCGTAAAATGATTCTTGCAAAACTCGAGAATGCGCAAGCTTTGTTATCTTAGGTGAGTGTTCAACAGCAGATGAGCTCATACTCATGTATTTTTTCCATAAGCACTTGAAAAAAAGCTGAAATGTTGTGAAGTAAAGGAATAAGAAAAAACAATCAATGGATGCTTGAATATTATGAAATAGGCCCCAGAAACATGGATATGACTGCAATGATTTTAACTTGAGATGCTCATCCACAAAGATTGACTCTGAAAAGAAATTACTTTTCACGATTAAAGTTTCATAAGAAGGAGATCAACCAATACCTGGCATCTGCTGAAATCTTTTTTTATCATCCTGTCTGCGGCATAGTAAGTATACTGAGTGTACATCATTCAACATAATGCAGTGCGGTATATATTGGAGTAATTCTTCAATGGCCCAAAGGGATGTAGCTCCAGCATCCAGTTGAAACTGGACCCCAAAACTCGTTTTATTTCCAAGGCCAGTGAGCCTCTCAATAAGACTCACTGAGCCTCACTCAAGGACAAGAAGTGGTCATCACTTCCTTGATTTTGCCTGAATTGGCCAATCCTGAGCCAGGAAGAAATCACCTGATTTCTTCCTGACCCAGTCCAAGCACCTGGGTATAAAATCCTTCATTCCTCTTCAAGAGGAGAAGTCAAGAAGTCAGAACCTAGTGTTAAAGGGCCTTTTAACTTTAAATTACCTCATTCATTATTCTGAGCTAACCATTAACTCTGCCATTAAAACATTGAATCAACAGCCAATTGATGAACTGGGCAATGAGAATGAACTCCTCTGAAAAGAGGTTGAGATCTTATTCAAAGCTTGCATTCTGATGGCTGCACAATATTCAATTCCTTTGTCTGGGATCCAATGGACCCATGACAAATGAAGCTACTTTAGTTCCTGTTTGTATGCTTTTACTAATATGTGCAAATATCAAATGTGGCTGAGAAAATCTGGCATGGATTGTTTGTTTATGTAGTTGGCGATTCAGGTGACGCCTCCTTGATTTCCCAGAAAGCTTGGTTGGGTAAAATTGACCAGATGAAGAGAATTCGTAGTTACCCAGTTGCCTTCGGATTTGTTGAATGCTCAATCCAGACTCAATGAGGACTCTTTGGACCAAGGCCAGGTCGAGGGTATCGTCATCCACTACCACTCGGATAGTGCCTCCACGCACTTGGAAGGTGACGATTTGAAAGCCAGGGTCTGCACTGATTCCTGGTGGCTCAGCTGGCAAGTCAGCAGCAGGCCTGGGTGCAGGCCTGGCAGGTGAAATATTGGATGAGGTAATCTCGGTAATCTTCAACGGTGCGGCATTTCCAGCAATGGCTCCCTGAGGCCTGGGTGGCTTCACTCCAATAGTGATTCCTAGGGATCTAAAATAGACCNGACTTCCTGACTCAAGCACTAATGATGTTTACCATTTTATGAATCATGTCCTACATTCAAAAATTCCATGATGAAATCATTGAAATAATTTCAACAGTTTTTAAAGTTTTCAAAAACAGCTGTACTAAAATATGTTTGCTCCATACACCTTATAGTAAAGAATCTCACGATATGTCACTAAGTGAGGTAAGAGCAAAAAAGTTCTGGTTTGTAGAGGTTCATAAAGCTTTGGTCTTGATAAAATGGGCAGGCTGTAACTGACAATTAGGTAGGTTCAACTTTGCAAGATCCAACTACATACAATACATTTTTGAATATTTCCAATGCTGCATAACTTATTTAAAGTTTTGAAGAAAAATACCCCAGCATCCATCAATTGGTAGTTACAGCATAATATTTTACCAATAAAGCATCAAGATGTAAGACACAAGCTATGAGTAATAAAATCTGAAAAAATGCAGTAAAATCCATATTGGCACTCAATCTACTGTACTTTGTAACACCAACCATCTACAAGAGATAAATTTGTGCAGGTGAAATTCCTATGACAAATTGAGTTCGGCACTGAATTGTGAGGACAAATCTAGGATTGATTGCTCATTCATGAAGGGCACTTGCTGATCCATTATCAAACTTCAAGGAGAATTCTGCTTATAAATGGAAGAGTTAATTCATAAATCTTTGTCTCTTTCAAATATGCCAACTGTTGACGTAACTCGAAGATGCAATTTTTCAGGCTTATATAAACTCACTGGAGGTATCCTAGGAAATCCGACACCCGGATCCTCACTCCACTTCCGAATTGGGAGTACACTTGGGCAGATGTGAGGCCATTGTCCATGATGATGGTCTTGAGGAGCTCAATGTCCAGGGACCCATCGTCAACGAATTGTATGACGCCCCCATCCACTCCCTTGAGCATGAAGAAGGCATCGTTCACCACTTGGGAGGCTATGAACTGGTCTGGCAACCCATTCTCCAGTCCATTGGTGTGTCCAAAGGCACTGTACACCTTGGCAACTGCAGGCTGGCCATTCAGGCTGTGCCGATTAGCCAAAGAAAAGAACATGTCAAAAAGGCGCCCAATGACGCTTTTAAAATGCCCAATTTTCTCTGATTAATGCCTGGTCTCCAATAGAGGCTAGTATCTCAGTCTCTACTAAATAAGGCTGGATCAATAAAAAAGGGAGGTGGGTGATACCGTATTTACTCAAGTATCCCACGCGCCCTCAAGTAAGGCGCAGAGGGGTTTTTCAGTTCAAAATTTGGCTAAAATTGTATCCCTGAGTAATTTGCGCACCCCATTTTTGGTAACTCTAAAACCACAAAATTTTGAAAATAAAAACAAAAAAGTTGACTTTAGACGTGAATTGAACATGAATCTGATCAATTTTCAAAACTTTCAGCAAAAAAAACAAGTTTTCTTGGTAAATTTGTCACACATTTCTCAATTATAATCAAGTATAATTAACATACAACTTCCTAAAACTTCTTGAAAATGTTGTACCCGCTTATGACGCGCACCCCTTTCTTTCTTCTGAAATTTGAGAAAAAAGGTGCGCTTGGTACTTGAGTAAATATGGTAATTCTGAAAATTCTCTTAAAATATTTTACCTGGAAGTATTAAGAGGTAGAGAATTATACCGTTTCCCACCATCAATTCCTAAATTATTCCTGTCTCATTTTCCAAAAATGATTAGCACTAAAAGGATTTTTCATACTCTTCACCTCAGTTTTGCCTTTCTTCTTCTTTTTTTTAAAATCTTTTTTGTCAGGCTTGACTGTTGTAAATAAGCACATGTTTCTAATAAAAGTCAGTCTCTATTAAACGCCAGAAGACAGCTCTAATATTTCAAATTAACGCGTATCTTTCAATTATGGAAAAATACTTTATTCCAGCAGGCCAACTGTCATTCGAGAGAGGGAAGTGGCTAGAAGTGACTATAGTTCCTCAACTTTTTTTCATTTTGTCAAATCTCGCATAAAAGTGTCTGCTATTCATCTTCATGATAATTCTTTAGTTAGGTCATCACTTGACAGGTTCGTTTCCTCGAATGAATTCAGTCGACAGCAACATTGATTTCAATGCGCGAAACTTGATCGACTTGTCAAACTACACTTGAAAAAAATGAACACTTCCGCTTTTCTTCTGCTCTGGAATATCTGAGCAGCAGTTACAGTATATTAGTTCATTTATTGGATATGAGAATGAATGTTCCGAAGTCCCTGGCTTCGTATCTAAGTTTTCTAAGCGTTTAAAAGAATTTGAAGATGGTAATTTAAAAAATTCGCCAATTGTGAGGTTTACATATGAAGTACTGTACTTCGACTACTGCATTTACACAAATATATCCACGCACACCTTCTTTTCTGCAGAATCAAGGCAGAATAGTTGGGGTGTGCGTGATGCAGAGGAATTCTTTTTTTTTTTTTT